GAGAGAACATATATGCTTTCTATTGTTGTATGTTTTAATCATACGTACATTCTATAAGCCTTATGAGAAGTTAAGTTTTTATTGTTCCTAAAAACTCATGTTACTCACGAGACAAGCTGTCTTGTTTTTTTTTTTTTTTTTTTTTTTTTTTTTTTTTTTTAATTGCCACGTGCTCAAGATCAAGAGCCAAGGACTAAAAGGGTGAATGTTAGTTGAAGAGTTTAGAGGCCTAACATAGACTTAGCTTTTGTAATGATTTCTCTCTTAATTATGGTTGTGATGTTGATTTGTTTCACCCAAAAACTTGTAAACTCTATTAATATTTTTGATGTTTTTGTTAAACCACTTTTTGATACATGACTATATGTCATGAATTTTATATTAATCATAGTTTATAATTGTTATTAAAAGTTTGGGGTGTTAAAGTATGTTTGCAACCTCGCAATTTGTAATCATTCTTGAGACATATATGGAGAATTATTATGAGTTATGAAAGAATCATTTCAATGCGTAGACAAAGGTGGAACATTGATATTATGATTATCAAACCGCTACTGAATGAAAGAAATGGTGTATCATCATCATAAGTATGAGAGCGTATTATTGGAAAATTATAAAGAAAATAAAAAGTGCTAGTTTACTTATCTGATATAGGTGGAGGAAGAACATTTGGTGGCTTTATAAGGCTTGCATTGCCCTTTTCTTTCAAAGGCTTTAGTGTGGATTAAAGGATGGATCAATCCCACATGCGCACCTAGTCGGGTTGTGGATTCGAGAATCGAGACGCAAGATTCGTGAAATGGCACAATTTTGCCACACTTTTGCACTTGTGTACACTGCATCATCATTAGGAGTTTAGGAGCTTTTATGGGGTTAGACCGATCCAGCCTGGCCACACATTGACTTTGTGGATAAGCTTATGGAATCTTCCTACACCTTCCATAAATTGCACCATATCTTTAGTTCTTAACTAGTCAAACATGTGACATGTGGTAAGATGTGATATGACTTACGCCATCACAACCCCACTTGTTCGGAGCATTCCAGGGTTTATGCAAGTAACATATGACCTCCCTGGATCCTTATTGGTCCACATACAAAAACAAGGTATCATATTATTTCTTCTCTTTTTGCAAATTCAGCAAGCAAACGAATCCGAATCCAGTATTCTTTCGAGTTTCTAAGTATCCATAACCATTGTAAAAACTTTTAAGGCCATGCAGTTACCAATCAACAATCTTCAATCTTTAGATTGGTTTTAATTTACATATTTCGTCTTTTAATTCAGCGATAATGAGACAATCTCCTTCTATATATTTTTTTTTATAATCAGGTTGATAACAATTGATCAATTTAATTTCTAAACGAAATTGCTTAATCTAATTTATTATTTGCGACAACTATGTATATAATTATCAATATTCTTTGTTGGCTTGTTTGTGTTTCATATAATATTAAATAGTTAATCATTAATGATTATCAAAGAAAATACATAATAAAATTAGAACACACAGAGAAGATGAAAATTTACCGTGGTTACATCATATGGTGTATGTCCAATAGAGGATGAAAAGATTTTTTTTTTATTTATTTATAGAGCATAAACAGTTGCTACAAATCACAATATCAATCTGAGAAATCAATATCGGGCATCTAAATTAACCACTCGAATTTCTATTTGAACTCTCAACTTGCGGTCTCACTAAGTACTCTAATTGTTTTTGATGAACATACAATAAGATGACAACTATATTTATATGCAAAAGAATACCAAACCCTAACACGAGAAATTCGAGTTTGAGCCCAAAACATCGATATTTAAATACAACATAGTTAAATTAATATATTTAAGTGAATGCTGTTAATTTTTATTGCTATCCCCCATTAAGACTGTACAAGTGCTTGGCAACCTTTATATAAGTTTACAAATTGTCGTGTAACCTATTATTTACTTATTTTTATTTTTATTTTTTACCGGCAAATTTAATCTATTATTTATCCAAGTATAATAAATGGCCAAATAAAAATGCCTTGCATGATATAGTTCCTCCAACAACATGCAACTTGTTCGAATGTATTTAATTTTGGCTAGAAGCTATTTTCTTCCTAAGTTGCATGCATTGTCTTTTTTTTTTTTTTTTTTTTTTTTTCATTTCTTTTGGTCCAAACGAGTTCCAACCATAGATGGAATCAATAACCAGCCACATGGGTATGTTAAAAACATTTCATTGGTCGTATTTCGTGTACGAATTGATTGTTCAGTGTATTATTAGTGTTCATACATTTTACAACAATGAAAGTTATTTAAATAATACATTTTATCGGTTGCTATCATAGGCAAGTGTAGCAGTCTTAATCAGACAATATCACTTTCATGTCATTGTAGGTCGGTTTGCATTGATCAACCTTTAGATATGTGAAATCTTTATATTTCGAAGTGACATCATTCATATCTCAATTTATGTATAGCTCAGCCAAAATCACTTTTTATTTTAACAAAATGAACGAGTTTATTCGTTACATAGCGGGACAACATAACAATCGATTACAACTTTCACCAACTTAACCGTGGTTAAAATGGACAAAAGGGGTGCATTTTTATTGATGCAAGTTGCATGGAGAAACTATGACGTGTGCTTAGAAGCCTGACCACTCATCTTTTGATACGTACACGTCCTTGCATAGCAAGTGGGCGGACATATATGACAGCTACTGACCATGTAATGACAGTAAATTCGAAGTTGAGGAATGAGGAGCTACCAGGCCCACCGCGTAATTTGGGTATATACACGGTGCTGCTATATGTGCATTATATTACCTCGCTAACACAAATGTCATATTACCAAGTTACATAAACACTATTACATTCATATCATAGTACACAAAACAATTTGGGGTAGATATAATTTCGTTATATACAACTCTTCTACTAGATCTATTTAGTAAAGATTATTAATCAAAAAAATCTAAAAATAAAGAAAAAAAGCTTACTCTAATCTTTATAAATTCAAGACAAAACTGTAAAAATGATTCTTATGATATCATTTTTTTGGATTTTAGTTCAAATCATAATTTTTTTTGGATTCGTGATCATTTTGACTGTGTTCGCTTTTGATTTTGGTCCATTGGAAAACAGAATGAGCTAAAATGTCATTCTGATACACTTTTTATGTTTTTTCTATTTAATTTTGTTATGGATGATGATGGTATTGACCCTAAATATGGTAAGGTGTATCTCACGAAGAATAAAGAGGCATCCAGAATTTAGAATAGTTAAATAAGTTAAGATAATTATTTACTTTTTGGTGTAGGAGTTATTTAAGGTTAGGATTGAGTTTTTTAGTTTCCATGTTTAAAGTATTTTCTATCCCTATTTAAAGGGTGATTCTGGATGAAATAAATGCACGCTTAAAATCAATTATTTTAATTCTCTTAGAATACTTTAACCTAATCTCCTCTCCAAGGAGATTAGGTCTTATTAGTATTCACGGCTGCAGGAAGCACAACAACAGGACCTGTCACAAGTTCAAAATCTCGGGGCATATCAAGTTTGGTATTAGAGCCGCTCGTGATGTCGACACAACAGGAAGAGCTGATGAAGAAATTAGAAGCGTTCATGTTCCAACAAACACAAAGCAACAATGATTTGAAGACAAACACCAATGATTTAAAGGCGGCTATGACAGCCTTGCAGACCAAGCAAGCAGCAATGGAAGAGGGATTGCAAAACCTAACCCATAACAAATATAACAAACAAGAAGAAGATAATGAAAGCGTGGACAAGATGTTCGAGTCAGAGAAATTCGATGACCCATCGGAACAGGTGCGTGGCAGGGGACGTGGTGCCACCTTTGGTGCCAATCCAAACAGTAAATTTTCATACCTAGGAGGCTGGGCTGGAAGAGGTAGGGGTTTGACCCAAGAAGGAGCAAGAAGAGGATCAAGCAAGGTTTTTGATTCATGGCGGACAAGCGAATCCCAACCTTTCAAACACAATTGGGACTCCCTCAAACTGGAAGGGTCAAACAGAAGGGATCATGGGGCATTAAAAGACTGGGAAGAGACAGAAGATACGAAATATCATGGGGGAAGGGTACCGAGATTCGCTAAGATGGAGTTTCCCACATACGATGGGAGGGGTAATCCAATCGAATGGCTGCAAAGATGTGAAGACTTCTTTGAAGAACAACAAACCCCGACTGAAGCTTGGGTTAGGCATGCCACCTTTTCACTACAAGGACGAGCTATTGGGTGGTACCATAACCTACGAAGAATGAAGAACCGCTTGAATTGGTTTGAGTTCTCAGAAGAGTGCAAAATCAAATTTGGACCTCCGATGAGCATAAACCCATTAGGCGAGTTAACCCGACTAAGGCAAACAGGTACAATGGAAGACTATTGTGAAGGCTTTGAGTCGTTGCTGGGGCGAACGACGAGGGTGACTCAGGAGCAAAGTGTTTGGCATTTTTGCACATGCTTGACTAATGTTATCCAGTACGAAGTAGAGTTTGCTAGACCCCCCATATTATACTATGACATGAATTTAGCTAGAGAGATTGAGTACAAACTAGAAGAGGAGGGACAACCAAGGAGTTTTGGAGCACCTCTGTCATATAAAAACAAAAACCGGGAATCGAATAACACTGGGGGAACCCATACTACGAAATCTGAAGTTAAGAATCTGTCTTTTAAATGACTCACAACAACAGAAATGGCTGAAAGACGAGCCAAAGGCTTATGTTTTAACTGTGATGAGATGTTCTCGATCGGACACAAATGCGCAAAGTTTTTTTGTATTATGATGGCAGATGAGGAATGGGAGGAGGGTTCTGATGAAGATACTCCCATAATTTCATTAAATGCAATCACAGGCGAGAAGACGGACCAAACCTTTCAGGTTCTGGCTAAGATTAGTAATGGGGTTGCTTGGGTACTTCTAGATAGTGGGAGCACCCACAATTTCATAGTAGGAAGGGCAATGGAAAAGCTCGGTGTGCCAATCCAACACCGACCCGGGCTCCGAGTTGCATTACCCGATGGCGGTCGAATGGCTAGTAGTGGGATTAGCAGGGATTTTCCAATAGAAGTACTACATGGGTTTAAATTTAGTGCAAATATGTTTACCATTCCCTTAGAAGGGTTTGATATAGTATTAGGGATCCGGTGGCTACAACAACTCGGGAATATATTATGGGATTTCACGGTCCGGGAAATGGATTTCACAGTTAACGGGAAGAATATTAAATGGTTTGGTGAGTCCCCCGACACAACAAGCTTGGCAGCTCTCGCCACAAACGGTATCCTAGAACCAAATTTAGATGAACTTTTGGATGAATTTGAAGATATTTTTAAAACGCTACAAGGGCTACCTCCCTCGCGGTCCTGTGACCACCGAATCCGTCTCAAGGCCAACACCGAACCAGTGGCTGTCTGTCCTTATCGGTACCCCCATCTTCTCAAGGGTGAAATAGAAAAGAAATGTGCCGATATGTTGAGAAGTGGAACTATCATACCTAGTCAATCCCCGTTTTCCTCACCCGTACTCCTAGTAAAAAAAACATGATAAAACATGGCATTTATGTGTGGATTACAGGGAGCTCAACTCAAAAACAGTGAAAGATAAATTTCCGATACCGGTGGTTGAAGAGCTCCTCGATGAGTTGCATGGTGCGTCGGTTTTTACCAAGTTAGATCTGACGTCGGGATACCATCAGGTACACATGTTTCCGACCGATATTGAGAAGACTGCATTTCGCACTCACCATGGACACTTTGAATTTCTATGATGCTCTTCGGGTTATCCAATGCCCCCTCAACATTCCAAAGCTTAATGAACGAAGTCTTCCATGCGTATCTACGTAAATGTGTTCTCGTTTTTTTTATGATATTTTAGTGTATAGCTCCTCTATGTCTGACCATTTGGCTCACCTTCGAATCGTTTTTAAGCTATTACGGGCACACAAATTATTTTTGAAGCGATCTAAATGAAATTTTGGAAGCCGAGAAGTAACTTATTTGGGACACATAGTTCGCGAAAATGGGGTAGCAGTTGATCAAACAAAGATAGAAGCCATTCGTGATTGGCCAAAACTGCAGAACGTTCGAACCTTGCGTGGGTTTCTTGGGTTAACGGGGTACTATCGTAAGTTTATCAAGGATTACGGGGTCATCGCGGGTCCGTTGACAGGTATGTTACATCGTAACAGTTTTGCATGGGTCCTCGAGTCCGAATTTGCCTTTAACCAGTTGAAAGAAGCGCTCTCCAACTCCCCATTTATTGCATTACCAGATTTCACAGCAACTTTTATCGTTGAGTGTGACGCATCAGGTAGTGGAATTGGCGCTATATTGCAGCAGAACAATCATCCGGTGGCTTTCTTTAGTCGGAAATTGGATGATCGACACCACAAGCTTCCGGCCTATGAACGAGAGCTAATTGGGTTGGCCAAAGCAGTGGCTCATTGGCGACCCTACTTATGGGATCGACACTTTTTGATCAAAACCGACCACTACAACCTCAAGTTTTTGCTTGATCAACGGCTAACCACCTCTCCACAGCAACAGTGGGTCAGCAAATTACTTGGGTTTGACTTTACTATTGAATATAGAGTAGGGTCATTAAACCGAGCCGCTGATGCGCTATCAAGGAAGGAGGATCAAAACGAAACCGGAGAACTCTTTTTGATGTCAGATTTGCAACCAAAAATATTTGACACTCTACGCGTTGAAATTGAAACGAATGATGAACACCGAGAGTTGCGAAGAAGGATAATCGATGGGATTGAGGATAGTAAGTGGGTTGTTAAGGACGCGCTGATCATTCATGATGGTCGGGTGTATTTTAAATCTAGCTTTCCTCTAGTAGCCGAAGTGGTTTCAGTGGTTCATAATGCCACACATGAAGGGGTACAAAAGACAACGGAACGGATACGCAGTGATTTTTATTGGAAGGGTTGGAAGGCTACCATCCAAGTTTTTGTTTGACAATGTGTCGTGTGTCAGCAGAACAAGTGGGAAACCCTACAACCAGCTGGACTACTTCAGCCCTTACCCATTCCAGAGTCGGTTTGTTCGGATATATCAATGGATTTCGTCGAGGCCTTACCCAAGGTGTAACGTAAATCAGTCTTGCTGGTGGTAGTAGATCGATTTTCTAAGTATGGCCACTTCATTCCTTTGGGACACCCATATACTGCTGAGTCTGTTGCTAAAGTTTTCTTTATGGAGATTTTTCGTTTGCATGTGGTGCCATAAACAATAGTCTTAGACAGGGACAAGGTGTTTCAAAGTGCCTTTTGGAAAGAGTTGTTTCGCCTATCTGGATCCCAATTAGCTTTCTCCACAGCATACCATCCTCAAAGTGACGGTCAAACTGAGGTAGTCAACCGTACTGTTGAGATATATTAATGATGTTTGATGGGTGATAAACCTCGCTCATGGGTGGCCTGGTTACCATAGGTTGAGTACTATTATAACACTTCTTACCATACTTCGTTGAAG